GGAAAAGATAACGCGAGGGAGACCTCGATTAGGTTTCCTTCTTCAATTTCCAATATAATGTCTGCGCTGCTTCCTGTCAAACTAGAGGCGTCGTCGACGGAAATTATCCACCGGCACACTCTGTCCAGGGGTGAGGGCGAGGTCTTTTCAGCCACAAAGTTGACCAATGCTTGAGCTTTGAAGGCTTTCCTGCCCTCGTATTGGATATCGAACTCGAAGAGTTCTAACGACCATTTTAACATTCTACCTGCCATGCCAGCTCTTCCGAGCAGTTGTTTATCGATTGATCCGTTCGGACGACTATGGTATGCGCCAGGAAATAATGTTTGAGTCTCCTCGCCGTGTTGACGAGGGCCAGTGCCACCTTTTCAATTTTCTGATTTCTCATTTCCGGGCCCTGTAAGGCCTTGCTTGTAAAGTAGATTGGTCTTTGTCCTTCTAGGGTTTCTCAGATTAGTGTTGCGCTTATTTCCTCGGATGCGACAACCAGATAGAGATAGAGGATTTCATCCTTCTTTGGTCGAGAGAGGAAGGGTGGTTGCGATAGTGCTTTCTTCAAGTGGGTGAGCGCTTGCTCGTATTCCGCTGTCCATTCGAAGGTAGCTTCCTTGTGGAGGAGCTTGAAGAGGGGGAGCACGTGCTGGGCGGATTTCGCCATAAATCGAGAGAGGGGAGTGAGCATGCCGTTCAAGATTTGAATGGACTTTTTCAAAGTGGGAATTGGAAACTCAGAAAATGCTCGACATTTATCGGGATTTGCCTTATTTCCTTGTTATGTAAGGTAGAATCCGAGGAACTTTCCCGCTCATACACCAAAGGTACATTTTTATGGATTAAATTGCATCCGGAACTTTCTGGCTTGCTCGAACACTTTCTTCAAGTGGAGGGAGTGGTCGATCTCTTCCATTGATTTGATGATCATGTCGTCCATGTAGACTCTGAGCATGTCGCCTATCTCATTGCAGAAGACTTTGTTCATCAAGCGCTGATATGTAGCGCCCGCGTTTTTTAGGCCGAATGGCATTACATTATAATAGTAGTTGCCCGACTTGGTCATGAAAATGGTATATTTTTTGTCCGTTTTCACCATTGGAATCTGGTTATAACCAGAATATGACTCCATAAAAGATAGTAATTTGAAATCGGCCGAGTTATCGACGAGTTTGTCAATATTGAGGGGGGGGGATAAGCATCTTCCGGGCAAGCCCGATTGAGGTTCGTATAATAAATGAACATGCACCATTTTCCATTTGATTTCTTTACTAAAACTACATTTGAGATCCAGGTTGTGTACTAGGCTTCAGAAATAAAATGTGCCTCTAGGAGGTCTTTTACAGCTAGTTCGCCAGTCTCCTTTTTTTTGGGGGATTATTTTCTCCTACGGTGGGCGACCGCCTTGAGGGAAGGGTCTATGGTCAGGTGATGGCATGCAATCTCTAGGTCCAATCCTGACATCTTGGTCGCCCTCCAGGCAAACAGATCAGTATTCTCCCTTAAGCAAGCTTTAAGTTGCCTCTTCGCCAAGTCGGGGAGGTCAACTTCGATCTTTACTCCTTTGGTGCGATCGTTTCTGAGGGGGATGATCTCGAAGTCTCCATCGAGGATGGGTCGTCCATGATCTGAGAGTTCTTCACTATTTGCAGATAGGGATGAAATTTCTCCTTCAACCATGGGTTATTTCCCTTTCTTTCTCTGCACTGTGCGATCTTCTTTGGAGAAGCGACTGTCGAGATCAATGGCGTAGACCCTTGGCAGTGGCTTGGCTTCCTCGGAGCTGGAGGGCAATGCGGCCTCAATGGTCGTTCGTGGTTGAATGCTGATGGTACTCAGGCCCCTGGCTGAGGCTTCAAAACATCTTCTTGCCGCCTGGATGTTCCCGTGGAGGGTGGCGAGCAAATCCTCTGCAGTGTAGTACTTCATCTTGAGGTGTACGGTGGAGTTTCTTGAAGAAAGAAACGTTGTGTTTCTCCCTTCTTAGCGGATGGCCATGTCTAGGTGGAGATATGCTGGGGGAATCTTGTCGTCGGTGTCTCCGAGGAGGAGACTTTGACTACTTCTTCTCCCAGGCCCCTATCTTCTTGTTCTGTTAAAGGATAATTGCGTTAGTCTAGTTGATAGCAGTGAGCAATGTTGCAATGACTGAGTCGGCATTGTGAGAAATGGGAACTGGTTGCAGAATCTCTGATAGTTCCTCGGTGGGGTTCTTGGGACACTGCTCGTCTGAGAACTGATGGTCGTCGCCCTGAGCGTCGACTGAATCTGGGGACGCAGTCCGACCATCGCAGAAACCGAGGTTATCCTCGAGCTGAGGATTTTCTTGACTCTGTCGGTCTTATGTGTTGGGCAAAGTGCAGCCTTTCCAAATGGGTGGTGATCATCACGATCAGCCATGATTGTTGAATGAGGAGGATCTTTGATCTTCCGATTCCAGGGAACAGAAAATGGGGAAGATAGATGCCCACAGACAATGCCGCTGATCTTACCGTTGATCAGAACCTGCAAGGTGGCCGGATGATGATCTTCTGTCGGGCTGGAATGTCAAGGAGGAAAAATGGGGTTGTACCTACAAGGCACTCCGACGATGAAGTAAGTGTGGGAGCAAAGAGATAGAAACAAAGTATTAGGGTTTTTGTGGTGAATAGTGAATATTTGATACCTGACCCTCACATGTGTGGGGGTTTATATAGTGTCCCTGGCGCTTGACCATTGGTTCCTAGTTTTGGGCCTAGATATGCGGGTCCGCAAAAATAGATAATTGCCAAGGCTTGGTCAAACCGGACAGGTGTGCTCGTAACTAGTCGTTGGTCCAAAGGAGGAGGTAGGTTACAGGGAGTGGTTTGGTCGGTTCCTGGTAGTCTGACCGACTTGCCGTCGGGCAGACTAAAAGACGCTCGCCAAATGTCGTAGGTCAGTGCCGGTCTAGAAGGGAAAATGAATGATGGTGCCCAACAGAGGGCAGGGAAATTCGGGTCGCGGTCGTACGGGTCTTACCGAAGGAGGAGGCTAGACTAGACCATCTCTAACTATCGGGTTAGTCCAGAACAATTACTATGCAATGTCATAGTTAATTTCTTTACACAATCAGTGTATCACAACCATTCAAAAATACTACTTTATAAATAATTAAAATAAAAGTCAAATATTACTAAAATTCTAACAGCCGCGCTTAATTGGCAGTGTTGCATACAAATTAAATTCTTCAAAAAAAATCTTTTTTAAAATTTTTTTCAAAAAAACATTTTTTTTCTGGAATTTTGCTTTTAAATTTTCCAAAATTATTATTTATTTTTCATGTTTTTTTAAAATTTAGGGAAAAAAACTTCTGGGTAAATTTATTTCTGATTTTTTTTCGAAAAAAAACCTTATTTTTTGGTTTTTTGGTTTTTTTTTATGTCTAAATTTTTATTAAAATATAATTATGATTATAAATACAAATAATTGTAATGGTTTAATTTGATTTCTTAAAATAACCAACCATTCTCACCCCCTAATAACCCCAACTACCAATTAAAATGATATGGCTCTTGAAGACATGTCGATGGATATCAATCTAAAGGAAGTGATTCTTCAAGAAACATGTTTAAACATCAATTGAAAAGCTATTACTCTTCGTGAAACATGAATAGACAACACCCATTGCAATAATATGACTTTTACACATCCTATTCAAAGCAATGTAGCTCTCTACAACAAAAAAGACTTCTCATAATGAAAAATCTTTTTCGAAATTCAGAGATAAACTGTGTTACAAAATTTACATAAGTTAGAGCCATATCAGAAATAATGCATTACAATATCAAGTTACAAACTTACATCTGTCTGTAAATCATAAGCACAAAATTAACAACAAAAAATATATCAGGGTTGAGAAGAATCAATAACACTGTCCTCCAAATGCAAAAAAAGAGAGTATACTTTAACATCTTTCCAATGTGTTCTAGAATAGATCATCCACCCAAACTTGAAGGGGATTAGAACTATCCTTTACACTGCATTACAATCACATCAGAACTTCAGCGGCGGCAAACTTTACAGCCTCATAGCTATCTCTCATCAGAACTTCAACAGCGGCAAACTTTACAGTCCCATACCTATATCAAGAAATATTAGAACACACATATCAGTATTTCATCCACTACCATAAGTCAACTCTGTATTACATTTTGTTCAATATTGTAACACAAATGTTTTGAACACTCACTGTTAGGACATGCTCAAAAACCTGCACAAGTTACAATAAACTCAGACAACACAGCCATCAGTTAAACTACGGAAAGATAATAATTATATGATAAGACTGATGAAAATGCAAACTACAAACTATCTCGTCTCTGTTGAGTCTGCAATCGAACTTGGAGGAGTTAGACAGGAAAACTAGAAAACAATTTTTACAAATACTTTGTTCATACGAGGAAACCAGATAGAACCTCACCAGAAGTATATCATCAACATAGCCCTGAATCGAGTTATCACCCTAAGGGACGACAACTTTACTTATCGAGTGATGTTTTATTGGAATTAAGGAGAAACAAAAGAAGTGCAATAATACAACTCGATTGCAGTAGTATTGCTAACGAGTACGCCAATGCTCGAGTAAGAATAACATTAGATACACTTAACAGACAAATGGATGAAGTCTACAACTAAGTCCTTTGTCGATACCTATTACAATATTCAGATCCTAAATTAAACTCAAAACATCATAAAGGGCTAAGGCAAGGCAATAGTAACCAGCTAAAATATTCTTCTCACTAAGGTTAGCAAGAATCTGAAATTAATTCAGATCTCACATACATCTCAATACTAAATAGACTTAAGCTACATTAATTACCGCATTACATTCATATTAGAAATAAGTTGTTCCAACAATAGAAAGATGAACATAGTGTCCACCAGTAAGTTCTGTTATTCATATTTCATACTCATCCGATATAAAAAACGAAAAAAAAGACAGGACAAAAGAAAAGTCTTTCAGTTAGATGATATATATGTATATCTATCTAGCTCATATCCATGCCATCTCCAATTTGGCTGCAGATAGGACTAACAGCAGAAAAAGACTTCTCAAACGGAGAATTAAACTGTGCATCCCGTCTCCGCTTAAAACTACATCCATCCGTTGCCATTGGCGTAGTCTCTCCATCAAGCTTCCTTCGAACACCTCGCACGGCTTGTTCCTCTGTTGGTGTAAGCGGGAAAATCTGTCCACTAGCTCGGCAACGAGAGCTGTGATTATCATACAGAATTCTCTGGTTACAATTCTTATCACAGATATGAGTCAGCCCTGTTAAATTGCAGCGATACATGTTTCCGCAAACATGTTCGTTTTTGCATTTCCAGTCGCATTTGTGACCGGGAAATGGACTATCTCGGCCCAAAATACTCGACAGATAAATAACATTCGCAGATTTTCCATATACCTCCATTCGCAACTCCTGAGTAATCTTTTACGCTCTCACTTCAAAAACTTTCCGAAATTTTCTGCAAGGCCACCACAACATTACAAAACTCAGTAAAACAAATTGCATGAAACGAACACATTGACACGTGACAAACAGTCACATGCGTCAGATCTAAACCGAGTCGAAATTGGATTTGAATTTAATTAAACAATAATTAAAAATTAATAAATCACAAATAACGTGAAAATCAAATGTTAACAACAAACTCGTTCTTTCAACAAATATATAACAAAATCGAAATTGCTTTACACATGAATGTACACGATTGATTCAACAACGACGTGAAGAAGAATAATCTGGAAAAAAGTGAAGGAAAATTAACTTACTCTTCAGCAAAGTGAAGGTCCTAAAGAACGGAACAGTTTTTTCTCCTCAACAGTACCTTACAAAAAAAATAAAATAGAATTTCTCTCTGAAGAACGAAACTAATGCTAGTTTTATATGAAACTAGAAAGAAACGTTATGAATGGGAGTTATTTATAGTATTGTAGATGCTCGACGGTGAATGAATGAATGCTTGCTCGTAGTACTCGTGACTTTACACATGTGGGGTTAATGTGCCACGTAGGACAAAATGCTATATCTATTTATATAATATAATATATAAAAGGAAGTTGTTCAGGAAAAACCAATTGTGCTCTTATCTCTTTTTCAGTCACCAATATAATTATTTTTTTTTTTAAGGAATAATCAAGTATTGAAAAACACATATAAATAATTATATAAATAATTATGTTTCGAAAAATATTAAATAAATAATTATGTTTTAGAAAATCTCATAATGGATGCGCTAAAAATAGCGCATGCACTTTAATTTTAGAAGGAAGCGCTAAGTGAGATGGCGCTTAGGTGCAACATGTTTGCCCTAAGCAATCTCAAATGGCGCCTAAGTGTATTTAAGAGGTATTTTTTTTGCTTTCTATTTTAAATACGAGACAATAAGTAAACGATATAGGTTCATGAAACTTCGACTTTTCATTAATAAATGAAGGATTACATAATGAAAAAAAAAACATGCATATTATTTAGTTGTCCCCTGGAACTCGGTAACGACTCGTGGTTCCACATCCGCGTTTGTGCCTATCTCGTGGTGGGTTTCGTCGATTTTCCCGTTACGGTTGGATCGATGGCCCAGCGAAGTCAATGCGTTCAGGATCCATGAAATAAGTCAGATCACCATATCTGAAAGATCCGCTTTGGTACAGTCGGTTACTCATGCCCTCAAAGTTTGGTCGTCTTGGTGGGGGTGGGGTTCCATGGATGGTCTATAGCACTGGTCGTCTGAGTAAGGGGAGTAAAAAGGAAATGAATCTTGGGGTGTTTGATATTGCGACTATTGGGTGTTATGGTGATGTGGTGGTTGATGGTAATTTGGGTCGGTTGGGTCATATTCTTCAGAAAAGCCTAGATCTAGGCTAAGGTGAGATGATGAGGGACCCATATCGGGATGTGGAGAAGACTGGAATTGTGTGTGGGGGCATGTGAGTGTATTGGTATTACGATTGGGATTGGGGTTGGGTGTGGGGCATATGAGTGTATTGGTATTGAGGTGGTGATTGTGGTTGGGTGTTGGGCATATGGGTGTATTGGTATTGAGGTGGTCATTGTAGTTGGGTGTTTGTGGATCTGTATCATCGTGGTGTTTGGTGGAAAGTTGATGTGTGTTGGGTTTGTTCTTGGGGATTTGAGGTTTGTGCCCATTGTGTTCGTGGGTCAACCAAATACCTCAGATGAGACACGTGCATTTCTGGGTTACTAACCGATTTGTACCAATCAAAATATTGATCTGTGTGTCACATATTATTCTGGTTGTGGAAAATAGAAAATTGCAAGACATGTTGGTAAGGGTGGAAAACGAGCATGCTCGTCCCGTTTAGGCCCGCCCCGCAAAAGCCCGCAAAAAAATGAGGTGGGGCGGGCATAGTTGAGTATGAGGGCTTAAAACCTAGGCCTGCCCCGAGTAAAAGTGAGTACGGGGCGGGGAAAGACCGCGGGCACTGCACCTTTTAGGCCTAAAAATGCAAAATTTTATGCTAATAATCATGCCCGCAAAAGCCCGCGAAGAAAACATTGCGGGGCAGGGCGGTCACATTAGAGGGTGAGGGCCTAAATTCTTGGTCCACCCTGCACTAAAGTGCGGATAAAACGGGCATGCCCAACGGGCCAGGACCGTTTTGCCACCCTACATGTTGGTGACGCCTATGTCATATCTTACACCATTCTGGAGCAAAATCTTTCAAATTAGTAAGACCCCATTGGCCGTCGACCCTTTTGAGATGCCAGGGTGACAAACAAGTTGGATCGCATGGTATCTCTTGATGCATTCTGAACTGCATCTTGACACGGTCGATGTGGTGCATCTCCATAATGTTTAACCGTATGATTGTAGTCTTTGCAGTCCAAACTGCTGCATCCTCGGGGTTTGATTCATGGTCCAAACCCAAATATGGTCTTCATATAAATTGTGGATAAAATTAAATCAGCATAATGAAAACATAAAAAATAAATAATTTAAAAGTAGAAAAGTTCAAAGGTACCACGTACATCATCCGAGCCAAGGTGATCCAATAGATTACGATATAGAGCGACATTGAATCTTGGATTCTTGTTGTAATCCATACCCGTTACGCAGTACCTAAAGGAATTGAAAAATAGTTTATTTTATACATATATTTGGCGAAAGGATGAATAATAAATTATTTAATTTCTTGACTTACTTTGTTGCGTATGGGAAAATGAATGCATTGTTGTTGACGGGGTTTAGGGACTCCATTCTCCACCAATCTCAGGCTTTGAGTAAGAAAGCGCATCCATAAAAAGTACATTTGTCCTTTGTTGCATTTTTATACAAAGAATTGTATAGATGGTCTAAAACAGCAGAACCTCAACTATACTTTCTTGTTTTTTCAAAGTTCCTAAGCAAACTTAAATACATAAAATTTACACTATTCCATGTACTTTTGGGAAATAAAAAGCTTCCAAATAGTATCATCATATAATTTCTAGCTTTTATTATTCTTGCTAGCACAGACGAATTTCCATTCAACTCAAGAGTCGCATAATGTTTTTTGAGTTCGGTTAGTAATATACCTTGGCCTCCAGTACCACTACCTTCTACCATATCTTTGCCCAACAATTCCTCGCATAGAAAATTGGATTATTGAACCGACCCATTAACTGCCTTACCATCGATAGGGAGACCCAATAACATGAACACATCCTTTAGTTTGACGGTACATTCACCTATTGGTAGATGAAATATGTGTGTGTCTCGGGTCTCTACCTTTCCAACATTGCAAGTATAAACTTGGAATCAATCGTGCAGTTTGAGATTTTTATAACATTTCCAAAACCCGCATATTCGAGATAGGGCACGATCAATGGGTCGGGAGTAATGTAGTTGTGTGAGCGAATTCTAAATCTTTTAGTATCCTAAATTCAAATGTAAAAAGTGTAAGAGTCCATAAGATGACTAATTGAATAATAATTTTATAAAAAATATATTAATATACAAGAATATTTAAGAATTTATAGAAACTTACGAACGTCGCAATGTTGTCTCTTGTGCCTCTGTGAGAATTGCCCATTATGAGAAGAGCCATATTTGAAATTGTATAAGATAATGAAAGAGTTTGTATCAGAGAGTGAGATGATTGGTGATGCAAAATAAGTATCTCAGGCGCCATATTTATAGGCGAAATCGTATAAGAGTGAATTAATGAGGTGGTTGGTGGTTACATGTATGCATGATACGTGTCACTCATGTGGAAATTCAAATGGCGCCTACATGCAATTTAGAGAGCATGCATCATTCAACTTGGCGCGGGACAGACCTACATGTAAAGTAGGTGGTAGCATAGGTGGCAACATAGGTGGCAACATAAGGGCAAGCTTTTGTGAATGCATGTAAGGTGATAGGACATGTAGGGATGCACCATTTGACTTGGCGCATGAGTGCAAATTTAAAAGGTGTCTCTATCTCAATTGGAGAATTAGTGGTGGAGCATTTTTGTCTTGTTCAAGTTTAATGAAACCTATTTATCCTACATGCATCTATGTTATCAACACTCAAACATTTAAACACGCAAACACTCAAACCTTCAAACATTCAAACTTTCAAACAGTCAAACACAATGCCCTTTACACCACAATACATTATCACTGCACATTTCAACGGTGAGACGTACATTTGTCCCACCTCTGGGTTTTTATTTAGAGATACTGAGAACATCCAATTTTGTTTAAATAGAAAAGCCAATTTCTTGTATTTCAAAAAATGATTAGAGGTCAAACTCGGACAAAGTCCAATGACACACATCTTCTACCAAAATCCTGTTTTTTTGTGAGAACCAAATAATATTTTATAAGATAGAGGTTCAAGATGACGAGGACCTTCAAAATATGTTTTCCAATCATGAGTATTTTGGGCATGACTCAGTTGATTTGTACATTGTGTTGCGGGAGCCTCAGTTGTCACGACCAATGCAAGTGGTTGATCCTCTCAAAGATGAACAAGCAAAAGTAGATGTCATTGACGAAGAAGAGGAAGATGAAGAGTTAGAGTTTGACGACATGGTCAACGAGGATTCTGAAGACCATGGGCTACCTGAAATACCTTCGAATGAGATCTACACACCACCTTCTCACATGACAAACTTCAACATGGGCGGAGATGAAATGTCATCTGATGTTTTTTTCAACCCATATATGCAGTCGGATGAAAAATTAAAAGGGAAAGACAAATTTCGTAATAGAGAAGATTTTATGTGGGCTATAAAAAAGTTTCACATGCTAAACTCTGGCGATTTTAAGGTAGATCGGGTAAATCCAGAAAGGTACAAGATCAGGCGTGTTCACCCAGATTGCATGTTCAGGCTCACTGCATCATATAGGTTAAGAGGTGTTTGTTGGGTGATAGGTTCTATGGCCACCCACACGTGCGTCAATTCTACTCAATCACAAGA